CTTTCACAGTTTTGATGGAAAAATATTAGTTATCAAAACATCTTGTGCATAGAGCTAAAATGACTTTAAATTAAAGAAACGAGACGGTTCATAATACTACGTGTAAACATGGTATGTTTCAACGATTTGGAAATGTTAACTATTTCAGTGTCATTTGAATAGTATCTCCCTAGATATTATACGCATTCATAATATTTATACCTACTCGAAATTATCTAACCCTTGATATTCATTATGACAACAATTTTGGAATTGAAAAGCTTGAACTTTGTCCTTCTACATAATTTCTCTAGTCTCGACAAAATTCTTAAGTAAATATTATTTGTATTAAAGAGTTAAATTATTTAAAAATCTGGAGTGCTTTAAGTGTTGTGGACATTACAAAAATAGTAATTACTCGTAGTGCAGCATAGAATTATGTCAGGACTGACCATTCAATAATAATAGTTAATAAATTTGTAAATACCAAAAAGAAGTTCCTTGCACCTTTAAATGCAGTTTTACTGTTACAGGGACGGTGTAGAAATTAACACAACCTTTTTAACTTATTTTTCTATACAGTTATTTTTGTACAAAACAGTATATTCTTACTACAGTACCAGGCGAAAAAATATAAGATAAATTTAAAAGTGCATAGGCAAGCAATGCTTACGAGGCTTATCATATGTGTGCTAGCACAAAATATGTAATTGTATTGTGCGATTAAACCTAATAAATATAATTTTCGGACTATTTCACACACTTATACTGCATCCAATGCACAATACGATCAATTTCAAATACAAGTCACCGCTGATCTCAGCAGAAACCGTACAAACCCTATAACCCTTGTGGGGCGTCTATACTTAGAATCGCGGCGGGAGGTGTTCTTGCACGGGCTTTGAAATTTTGAAAATAAAAGCAGCATTTTACCCCTTTTAACCATTGACAGGTTAAATAGCAGTTAAACGTTTCTTCAAAACACCATTGGGAGGGTCGTAACCTGTAGAAGGGTTAGGTCAGCTGTATTGCACGCTAAATGGTGTGATTAACGTCGTTGAATTATAAATACTAAAAATAATAAAGTGATACAGATGAATATACTTAATTTAAAATATCATGTATACGTATTTATTGCGGCTTAGTTTTTAGTATAAGCCCCTTAAGTTTAAGTATAAATACATGTCACTAATTGTTTGTCGATTCTTGGATAAAAAAAAACTTCTGTAAATTATTGATAGGTAGAGTCAAATCGCAATTGAATTTGTACACAAAACTTGGAATAACTCACGTTCCGGTACCTATATATTGGCAATTCCTCAACAATTATTGATTATATCACTGCATATACATTTGTATTAAATAATATATTTTTATCAGGACAGGCGTTTATGCTACAAAAAAGGAATTATATTTACACATTTATATTGAAAAAAAAACTCATTATAAAACGTCAATAGACACATTTAATACAATTAATAAGGAGTTTCTTTGTAAAATAAGTAGTTGTTGTTGTACCAAACATTTTAATGAAGCTTAAATATTTCTGGAATATTATGCAGCAACCATACAGGGTGGAACGAAGTTAGTGTAGACAAAATTAAGTAAAAAGTTTTGAATCATAAAAAAAACACACAAATTCAATCTTTCATTGCCGAGTTAGGGCTTATAAAGATGCCTTATCTGAATGAATTCGTTTTACTACCATTGGATATTTAATTAGGGTTCTGAAAATGACAATAAATTTGAGATAACAATAAAAATTTTTTAGTGCACTTATAGCCCCTTCATATAAGCAACTACAAGTATTAAAACCCATAATTTTTCAGACATTACCTGTGGTATGACAACCTAAATTGCTGTAATACTGTCAGCAATACTTATTAGTTTAACAAATAAAATGTTTTAAACACTAACTTCGTTCCACCCTGTATATTGTTACTATTACTGTACTACCATACTATAACAAACACCCAAAATTAAATAAGGTACTGGTAGGATCCACTGCCATTAGGATAATATTTTCTAAAATATTAACTAGGCCTATAAAACCAACTTTAGATAGGTACTGTAAGTGTATTTATGAATTTTGAAGCTTTGGTCTTATGTGATCGTTGACTTGACCGCGCTCATGTGGACTAAAACTTATGCGTTTCTATCTTGTTTTAGCGATGAGCTTATTTCTTGGACATGATACTGGACAACAACTGAACATCTCATTGGTTGAAATATTTGTTAGCTATAAAGATGAGATATCACCCAACCGCTAAAGTGTATAAACAATCCTACATAAACATGTACATCAGCTGATTCATAAGGGAGTATGTTTTGTATGTTGTTATGGCAAAGAATATTTACTTATTTATTTCTCAACTGCTATACATCAATTTACATAAGATCATGGGTTGGCATCCAACAGTAGTAAAATAGTTGTGTCAATGACTAGGTTTTAAAATAATATAATATTGTATAAACCGTCACACGTTTAGCAGGTAAGCAAATACCCATTTTATGTAAAAAAATACTATCGTTAAAATGTCTTTGTATCCGCATGACAATACAAATGTGCTAGTCGTGTAAGAATAAACGAATTAATTTAGATAATTGAAGAAACAAAAAATATGTTAATCAAACGATGATACCAATTATATTTGAATACACGTAGACGAATAAAACAACCATCAAAAATTAATGGATAAAAAAACTATAACACTTAAATATACTATAACTTGAAATAAAAAAAAGCTTAATAATGCGTTGTGCGACCATTGGAAAAAATCTCGTAATATTGGTGGACTAATAATTAGTTTGAAATATTTATTAAAATAAGCCAATCAATAGATATAACATTGCGCGTAAAGTAATTTAAATATCGAATGAAATATATAATTAAAATGTAAAATGGTAACATAACTTCATTTATATCCGTTGACAGTTTAAAACATAATTAATAAATAAAGGTGGTATAATACAATCGGACAATCGTAATTCTGAGTTAATTATGAGTTAAATTACGTAAAACTCCGTGAAAGGCTATTGTCAATATAACCGAATCCATTTTATATCAGACATCCTATAATACCTCCAGTTAGGGCGTAAAAACCCCAAAACAATATACAAGGAAAAGAAACATCCCTAAGTATGCTATAAGACCCCACACCCCTTCCTAGAAGCCAATTGCAATAGTAAGGTCACCATAATCCCACATGACCAAAATGTTTTGTTTTGATAGAAATACCCTGAACATTGTTTCGCGATGACCCTTTACCTTTGCATATTTGAAATGGAAACAAGATTAGACTATGGACTGAGAACCAAATATTTATTATCACAACCAGGGAGTTATTACAAATTATTTTTCTCTTATAGATATGATATCTTTAAAAGATATACGTCCAAATATTATCTGCAAGTGATTTTACTGGAACTACGCTAGGATGTACCATAGCGACGGTATATAACGAATACTGTATTAGTACACATAAACATCACGAAAACTTAACATCTAAATTGTTATACTCATAGTCCTACTTTATTCTTTACGTATTTAATCATGTAGGAACTAATCCAAATATATAAGAGTAAATATATAAGTCAAACAAGATACATTTTGGATAGGCTACCACTGTTTATTTCAGGTAAATAGAGAGCTGTGACTTTTTAAACAAATTCAATTTAATTCCACTTACAATTATTTGTAAGCAAAATATAATGCGGCAAGCACAGACAACATGCTGTTTTCGGCGCAATTCTACATTAGAATAAGTCATCGTTTGTCATGCTTGGACCTTGTTGATATGACCTTGTTAATTATGTTTTGTATTTTAATAGCATCAAACTGAAGTTGATACTGTATTAAAAGTGCTGGTTGCAGAACGTTCCCGATGTTAAGCTTATGGAGAATAAATTAACTGCCGTCGATTGTTTACGAGTTTAATTGTTTATTCCGCATCCTTTTAATTTATTTACTCAAATCGAGTCTTTTATATGCAACAAAAAGTGTTCAAGAACCCGACGCTGCAGCAAACCTAGGTAAGAACTCATTAGGTAAATATTATTCAAATTGGCTGCCCATCTTAGCGTAAATTGTACTCTGTGGTTAGATTTGGAGAAAATCAGAACGGAGACTACTTTGGTTTGAAGGTTTGCTACCACGAGGGGTTTGTTAAGACAAGAAGACTCCACGAAACACCCGATATGCCCGAGAACGAGGGAAGATGGACAAAAGACTCGACCAAGAGAGAACATTTTGTTTTCGACCAGCTCAAAACCCCGAGGTCCCACTGCTCACAACAATACCACGACTTTCTGCCTGATTAGCCTAAATATTTAGTGAAAGCGAAGGGCCAGTGTAAAAACAATTACAGGAATATCAAATGCCTAAAAATGCGTTGAACTGTGTTGACGCGCAAAGCGCAAAATAGTCCGCAGGCAGTTACATGTATCCACGGACTGTATATTTATCAGAAAATGATTAAAATATTTACTTGGCATTGGTATTAAATTTTGAAAGTGGTTACTGGAACTATATTGTGTCTAAAAGGTTAGCTTTTGACCTACAAGTTCCTTTGAAAGATTAGTTTTCATTAGCCCTTCGTCCACATGGAATTGTCGAGGTGTTGTATGTTTAGTTTGATGCTTGGGAAACGTCGATAAAAATAAATAGATGTACAAAAATACGCGTTATGGATTAAAAAGTTAATGTATATATGATTTGCAAACAGTACATTAGGTTAAACACGAATAAGTCCACGTTTTCGATCAAGCAGGTGATACGCACCTGTCACGGATGAAGATTACATCGAAAATAACCTCAGACCTTACACGAATCTTTCTCCACAAGCCAGGGTGGTTGATCACCTCCAAAACACGGAAACCGGCGAACGCGCGGGGGTTCTGTACGAGCACAACACCTTTTGCTATACATTTTATAAAAGGTGACGCACTTTTGGCATGACTCCGATCCGATCCTGTGGAAATGTAAGAGGTTGTTGTTGTTGTTGTGAAGCATGCTGACTTACCCGTGCGCTGGGTGGTGGAAGGCGGTCGCCGGAGCTCCTGGGTGAAGCACCCTCCCGGAGGTCGGATCCCAGAGGTACCGGCCCTCGTGGGTCCGCTGGTCCACGGGCAGGGGAGCGTGGAAGGCGGCAAAGGCCGATGGAAACTGGAACGGCAGCCCCGTCGGCGGAGGTGCCATGTTGAACACTTCTTTCTCCGGCATATCGAGGGCTCACTCGCGAGAATATTCAAGAAAACAAGAAATTGCTCACTACTCTCTGAATGTCACCGGAACTGGGGATCGCACTGGGTGTCACCATGTCGTCAGTCGCACTCACTACTGCCTCGCGCACTGTAGTCAGTCTTCAGTCACAGTCACTGTACACTGTACACGGTACACGGTACACGATCACTACTCGCCAGTCGCTACACTCAACTGTACTGTGACAGCGATGCGAACGACTCACTCTGAGCCCCCTAATTGAGCGACCCTCCCCTCCCCTCCATCCCCTCCCACGTCACGTGGCACTCTCTCTGTCTCTCTGTCTCTCTCATTCTCTCTCCCCGCATTCCCTTTGCCAGCTCTCTCTGTCCCTCCCCCCCCCCCCCAGATGGACCTCTCGCTCACTCATTATGGCTTGTTATGCATTTCTGTACGGACTCGAGGATAAAGACATTTTCTACCCGGCCGTCCACTCCGCGCCTCTCCGCTGCTTAATTTTATCCGATTTTACGACGACCCCATTAACCGCGGGTGACGTTTTTTTGGACAAAGTTAATGTAACCGAAAAATAATGCGTTGGACCTAGGCTCTTTTCGAATTTTGAACAATGATTAAAACAAGTAAATATTTACATACGAATAATGTTTTACCACAGTTCCAAAGATGGTAAAATCGAATATTCCCAAGGATCGTAATTTAATCTTATGCTTAAGTTAGGTCTCAAGCACAACACTCTCAGCCAAATTAAAAGATATTCTCTTTCATAAACAACAGTAAAGTAAATAACAAAATCTATTATAGTAAATGGCCACAACACACACAAACAACAAGAACAACAAGATAGTCTTTAACAAATGTTCTAAATTCCTCTTCTACAATTAACAATAAAACACTACAGTATTATTATACAGCATTGCCACAATCAAAAGTGGTACCTATCCAAATATCAACAATACGATACAATGTACTTTTATTACACAACACTACCTCAGTAGAAGGTATTTTTCCTAAAATAAAATACGATACAATGTCTTCTTATCTCAGCACGCCACCAAAGTAGGGGGCATTATCTATATTCAACAATACGATACAATGTTTTCTTATCACAGGACGATATCACAGTAAGAGGAATTATCTCTATTCAACAATACGATACAATATACTGTTTTCTTATCACAGGACGCTACCACAGAAGGAGGCATTATCTCTATTCAACAATACGATAAAATGTTTTCTTATCTCAGAACGCTACCTCAGTAGGAGGCATTATCTCTATTCATCAATACGATTATAATGTTTTCTTATCACAGAACGCTACCTCAGTAGAAGGTATTATCTATAGTCATCAATACGATACAATGTTTTCTTATCACAGGACGATACCACAGTATTATCTAAAAAAGGAAAAGGAAGGTACTATCTAAAGGAATTTGAAAAAAGAACTATCTTTGACCGTTGCTTTTTACTCCATAATGATGATTTGTATATTTTAATTTGTGTATATACAGTTTATAATACGTCTACGTATGTAATAGATTCAGAATCCCGTAAGAAATGAATTTTATGATGTACATACATTTAATAGTGATATTAAAATGAAAAAGTGACACATGTTGGGTTTTCCCATTTTTTACCCTAAAAAATTATTGCAATTTCATTTTAAACCGTTTTGTAGAGCTTAAAAAAGAAATAATTTAGTATATTGAACCGCTGTTTAATGCCTAACGGTCATGGAGAAAATGCAAAAAATAGTGCAATTAAAAATTCCTATGTTATTCTTATGGAGAAAATGAAAACTGTTGTAGTTTACTTGTTTATGGATATATATTAAACAAATTTAACAAATTTATTTATTTCATCTTATACTTTTTATTTAAGGTCAAAAAACACTTTTTACCTTCCCCGTAACAGCAAACCTAGCCATTAATTAAATCTAATGTTATTTAAATTTGGAATAAATTTGTCTTATTTATGGAAATATTTTAGTAGAAATGTAATCAGTTGAAATTTGCTTAGTCTGTAGGTTTGCTGTGGTGGGGGTATTTAGGTTTATGTTATTAATTTGCTTACCGGTCGTTAACGTACCGGATCCACGGCTGTGGTTGGTGTAGAAACGTAGTGAAATCAGTTGATTTAGCGAACTGGGTCTATTCCCGCACTATAGCGTAAATGAGCTATTTTGCGTACTGTTTATCATTTCCAAGCAGCGGTAGGAAAAAATATTACTCTACGCACGCAAAGTGACACATGAAGGTCATTTTCTTAGATACATTACTATGCCTAAGCAATAAAGGTGATCTAGTGTTATTTCTTACCTAGTTTATACACGATTTCTGAGATTAGCGCCACGACGAGCCCGGAGAAGTGTTTATGCCTTGTGAGTGACTCTGTCATCGCACACTATTACTGTTCCACCCCACTAATGGTAACGCCTCGACCGAACCCACCGTAAATATTTAAATTATTCGAAAGCCTCCGTCGACCGGTTTAACTTATCAGGGCAAACAAACAACATAAAGTAAAAATAAGTACTAAATGGTGGAACCAGAACCGCGCAATGAGATGCTGGGATTGAAGAGTGTAACGAACGAGGGAGTAAAGAACAGAAACTGTAGTCGGAATATGTATATATATGTAGGCCTATAGAACTTTAAAGAGAGGTTGAAGTGAAAGTATTTAAAATCGATTTAAGTAAGTTCACGAAACCACCCAATCTGATCATAGTACCCTAAACATTTTATTTTAGAATTTTAACATTTATAAACATGATTCTGTTCCTGATTCTGTTCATGCCTCAATTCCTTTAACATCTTTGACCAAACGTTGAAGCGAAGTTAATATGTAAACGAGAACTTAATTTTGGGCTCTCTTGCCCAACCTTGAAACAATCAATAATTATTTTTGTCGTTCAATTTGGTAGCAAAGTGCAAATAGTTCCAAATGTTACATTGTCCGCTTACACCAAAAACATAATTGTATGTTTCTCATGGCAGCAAACCTAACTATATGTCTCATTGTCATTGACCATAATTTTGTGTCCTGGAATAAGATCTTGCCTTAAGCTTTAAATCCCTTTATAAATAAAATCCCTTTAAATACCCAAGAATAAGTGTGAATAATGAATTTATCAAAAATATCAACAAGTGTTTCTATAAAATTTACTTTAAACGAGAAAAAAATTTTCGCCAGTAGGCCTACAGTATAAAACGGGAGTTCAGCTTAATTGTCATAAGACGACGTTACAAATCTTGAAGATCTTAAAAAGTGGGAAAGAAGCTAAAATCAATATTTTAAGGGTTAACTCTTATTATTTCTTTGGATGAAATTTTTATTTGCTGTCTCGTTCAAAATCTCAAAATTTACAAAAATCCAAATAATTGTGTTTCCCGTTTTGTTTAGCACACTCATCCAAGATATTTCACAAAATAAAGTTTCAACCAAATTTAAATTAAATTTCAACCACCATGGGAAAGATCAAATTCACCAAACATAAAAAAGAATTGTATTTTTTATAACATCCATTCACAAACTGCCATCTCAGGGGTAGTGTGTCTATGACCAAACCCAAAACACTTAAACCGAATTCCACCCCCGATTTTTTCCTTGGTACGTCCAGAACCATTATCTAGGAGAACAAAAACAGTTTAAGTAAGGGATCGTTATAATGTCTACGAACTTTAGATGAAGAAATGTGGCAACCCGTGATTTTAATTAGAGCAAGGGGATAAAAACAAGCCCCATTTTGAAAACTGACTCAGCAGAATTCTTCAGTAGCTACGCACCCCGGGGAATTTTGTGCTCCCGTAACTAAGATTCAGGTTCCAAATTTTTGCGTGCGATTTTGCGTATTTGAAACATTTCGGTCTCTTTTATTATGTGGTGTTATTATTAGTCAAGATTCAACGTATAGTGTGCGTTTGTCAAAGTTTTGTCAACGTCGTTTTTAGAAACTCTTTCTCTTATCAATTTGTAAATGATTTAATCTGATATTATTCGGATACGTCTATGTGCACGGTAAGAAATAATAATGTATATACACCAAGTTTTGGTTAAATGCTAATAAGTTATTGGTTGAATATAAACTTGCGACCAATTTATTATGTGTAAATATATTTTGAAGTTTGTCTAAGCCCAGAAAACCCATGCGAATACCAGAAATTATCAACTCAAATTGTTGGGAGTTGTTAAGTTCAACAAATAGATATGAAATATAGAGATTAGTGCAATTTTAATGAGTCCTTACAAAGGTTTATTTTGGTTTAGTAAAACTTCGAGTACGTTAGTGTTGGTAAACTAACACATACCATTAATTATAAACCAACAAAGTTTGTCCCGGCAGTTTTAAAATAACCATTTTTTTAAATAATTAAAGTCTCTTCGTTTATTTGATAAACAAAGCTAGACTATACGAAAAACTTAATGGAACTAATTGTAATAAGCCATTCCTAGGTTTGAACCTTTTTGTCCTAAGACGCTAGGCACTAGCCTGGGATTGTTTTTCACATTACTTCAGGCTAGACGAATGGGTTGTGGAATTATCACTTAGATAAAATCCATTGGTGATTGGCGGGATTTGAACCCGGGACCTCAGGGACTAGGATTGAACTAAAACTTTTTAGCATTCAAATTTACTCCCCAAACCTGGCAACTTTACACTGATTAGTTTTGAGTGATATGTTACTGAAAGAGTACTTGAGCCGTATAGTCAAAACTACTTTCCTCAAACACTAAAAAACCTTCTCAATTTTGCTTTGATTATCTTTACCATTTACAAACTTACGATGTGGTTTTACAAATTTGGAGGCAAACATGATCATTTTCCCTCCAAAATGGAGGTAGTGATAGGATTTTGACTTGCTAATGTTTATTGCGCAGCCTTAATCGTTGAGGCCGGTGTTTAAATTACATATTGACCAAGTCATTATCTGTATAAGGGCGTGAGGTAGGTAAATGGTGGTGACGCCGTTAACTCCACTTGAATTGGGGCAACTTTGCATTTATATATCCTTAACGTCACAACATATTTAAGAGTATTTAAAGTATGGTGGATATTTTGTAGCTTTGGTTGGTGAACGTATAATTGCAGCAAAAACTCCTTAAATCTAATCATAGATAAAAGGAGTATAGACACATGTCTACTCCTTTTATCTATGATATAATCCTTTAGGAGTAGTATGGATAGACTTTGTACTCATATTTTAT